GGAACTAAGTTGAGGCGCCGTTGATCCGCTAGATTTGGTTGGATGCTGGTGGTGAGTTGCTGAACCCAACGAATACATTCTGAAGTCGGATGGGGTGAACGGATTAGGGTGCCCCTCTCGCAGGGGAGAGCAGGGAACTGCCTCGGGAAAGGGGGCCGCTGGTGAAGCTATACCACCCTGTAACAACATACATACTATCCTGGGCCCCCTCCCAAGCACCGCCCAGCACCGACCTCCAGGCTCGTGAGATTGCGCAGTCGAGACAGCGCCGCCAGCTCGTCAGGTGCGGTCAGACACACGCCGGGAAGGGAGAGCCGCGTCAACGAGGTCGGCAGCATCTATAGCATGGGGAGAAGGAAGGAGGAGAATGAGAGGACTTTTGCGTATTAGTGTGTGCGAAGTTCAGTACGGCAGTTCAGTACGGCTAGCTCCCACAACCAATTCGGTGGCTGCCTCAGGCAGCAGGTAGCGACGCGTCGACGGATGTACGGATGAGGGGAGATGCAAACGATTACGGCAGCCCGGGGTTAGCCCTGCACCCAATCGAGAGCTACAACACCATCATATGGGTCGCAAAAGAAAAGCCGATGTCAAAACTGGAAACGTCCATTCCGTCCATTCAAAGTCGCTTTGCACATCCCCTCCTGTGGCCGTGATTCACGCCCTGCACGCTGAACGCTGAACAACAGCACAAGACCACGAGCAAAAACCCCCCGAAGGAAATGTGAGGGCAATGCGGCGACCCGGCCAATGGTGCATCCCATCCCATCCCACCTCCTCATCCCATCCCAGCGGAGTCCAACCCAGCCCCTTCTCAGCCCCTCCTCCAACGCGCAATCCAAAGCCACCAACGCATCTGCCCCCCACGCACCTCGGGTCGCATCGCCTTTACGTCGCGTGACGCATACATGAGACTGATGATCAGCGCCGCTGCGGCCGCAGCGCCCGGCCCCGCCACCGCCCCCAGCCCCGGCGCCCCGGCGGACGTGGGCAGGCAAAGGTCGACATGCAGGTCCTGCAGCTGTACGCAGCTGGCTATCAGCTCGCCAAGCTGCTGCTCCTGCGCGAGGAGGCAAGGAAGGACAGGACGAGGAGGAGCAGAGCGGAGCGGAACATGGTTACGACGACGGAAATAAACGCGGATTACGTGCAGTCCGTGGAGGCTGCGAGGGGGCGTCCGTAGAGGCGGAGACGCAGGCGGAGACTAGCACTTGAGGCTTTGGAGACCAGAGCCATAAGCATCACTAGCTGCGGAAAGCCCCGAAAGCTCCCATCTACGTCCCACTGGTCCCATCTACGTCCCACTGGTCCCATCTGCGTCCCACTGGTCCCATCTGCGTCCCACTGGTCCCATCTACGTCCCACTGGTCCCATCTGCGTCCCACTGGTCCCATCTGCGTCCCACTGGTCCCATCTACGTCCCACTGGTCCCATCTACGTCCCACTGGTCCCATCTCCGTCCCACTGGTCCCATCTCCGTCCCACTGGTCCCATCTGCGTCCCACTGGTCCCATCTGCGTCCCACTGGTCCCATCTGCGTCCCACTGGTCCCATCTACGTCCCACTGGTCCCATCTACGTCCCACTGGTCCCATCTACGTCCCACTGGTCCCATCTGCGTCCCACTGGTCCCATCTGCGTCCCACTGGTCCCATCTGCGTCCCACTGGTCCCATCTGCGTCCCACTGGTCCCATCTGCGTCCCACTGGTCCCACCTACGTCCCACTGGTCCCATCTACGTCCCACTGGTCCCATCTGCGTCCCACTGGTCCCATCTGCGTCCCACTGGTCCCATCTACGTCCCACTGGTCCCATCTACGTCCCACTGGTCCCATCTACGTCCCACTGGTCCCATCTACGTCCCACTGGTCCCATCTACGTCCCACTGGTCCCATCTACGTCCCACTGGTCCCATCTACGTCCCACTGGTCCCATCTACGTCCCACTGGTCCCATCTACGTCCCACTGGTCCCATCTACGTCCCACTGGTCCCATCTACGTCCCACTGGTCCCATCTACGTCCCACTGGTCCCATCTACGTCCCACGGGTCCCATCTACGTCCCACGGGTCCCATCTACGTCCCACTGGTCCCATCTACGTCCCACTGGTCCCATCTACGTCCCACTGGTCCCATCTGCGTCCTCAGCCCATCAAGCCGTCGGGGGGGGGTGGGGGTTAAAGGGCCATGCGGGGTCCCCCTCACGTCCAAATCCGCCTCCGCACAGCGTCCTCTTCCTTCTTCAAACCCATGGCCCTCTCCTTCTTCCCCCCGGCACATACACACACAGACACACAGACACACGCACACACACACACACAGACACTCTCGGCAGGTGTGCCTCTTGCTGGGGATCCCGGCAGTCGGTGCTTTGGGTGCCGCCAGTTACATCTATTTATATGTTTCAAATTATCTCTACAACTACCTTCCCCCCTCCCCCTCCGCCGCCGGCGGCTCATCTCGCTCCCCTCATATCCACTCCCCTTACCGGCGGTGTGCTGTTGGGCACCATCAGGTGCAGCTTGCTCAACACCAGCCGCCGCAGCCGGGGCGCCAGCTCAGGCCAGTGATGGGCGAACATCACATAAGCATCCGTGTCAATCAGGAAGCCCTGCGCGCGCGCAAAAATGATAGGTACAGGTACACATATCGGGGTACGCGGGAGGAAGTGTTCGAGGAGGAACGCGCCCCAAGGCCACCCGCGGACTGCATTGCTTCTCCTCTCTGCCAGAGGTGTATACCTACTGAGTGTTGCTCACTCATCAACCAACAGAAAGAGAACGTCCCCCCGGGAGGAAGAAGGCTAAGGGAAACATTTGGCGACAGTGGGGGGTCCCACGCAGCAGCAACAGCAACAGCAGCAACAGCAACAGCAGCAACAGCAACAGCAACAGCAGCAACAGCAACAGCAGCAACAGCAACAGCAGCAACAGCAACAGCAACAGCAACAGCAGCAACAGCAACAGCAACAGCAGCAACAGCAACAGCAGCAACAGCAACAGCAGCAACAGCAACAGCAACAGCAACGGCGGCCTAGAGACCCTTCTACAGATGGTTCTTGAGCTGAGGTCGCCCTGTGGAGTAAGGGGAGCCCGACACGTTCCAAGGAACTGGCAAACACACACATACATACATACATACATACACACACAGAGGCATTGGGCGTCAGTTCGTTTGCCATCATCGACATTTTTCCCTCATAGCGGCTCAGATTATCAACACACACAGATACACATACACACACATATAAACCAGCCACGAGCGCAGCAGCACTCACCCGAAGCTCCAGGCTTTCCAGCCGTCTCAAGCCAGTCAGTGTCGCCAGCAGCGCCCGCCCAATCCGCGGCCGTCCATCAAGGAAGAGCCGTCGCGGTCCGTGGGCCAGGGAGGCCAGCGAGGGCACCCGCGCGGCGCCCGCAGCGGAGTTGGAGCCCGCGCCGGCGCCGTCCGGACCGCCCGCCCAGGTCATGGAGAAGTGGCGCAGGTCACGTAGCACCCCGACTATGAATTGGATCAGGGGCGGCGAGGCGTGGGGGTTGCCGGAAAGGCCGATGAAGAGCTCCAGCCGCTGGGGGGTAGTGGCGTGTCGTGGCGTGGCGTGGCGTGTGTTGGTGAGTGATCAAGGGATTAGGGGCGCTTTAGGATAATGGTTTCTTGGGGTATAAACGTAACCAGGTAAGGTCCAGATTAACAAGATAGATATGACAAGATAGGGTTTTTCCGGTTCCCAAAAGGAGACAACCGAAAAGGGGATAACCGAAGAAGGGGAAGAGGTTTCAATTAGTTAAGAGCAGCAGGTGCACTGGGGAGCGCACTCCCTGGACGTCCCCGATAACGAAAACAACACGCGACCGCACACTGCCCACCACTGCGTGTGTCTTGCTTGTGTGTCTACTATCCAACTAGGGTTTTCTGTGCACCTGTTCAATTCAGCCTTTTGCTTTTCCAAGCTACCCCCTTCTTTCCCCCCCTCCCCATCCCCACACTTGCACGACACACACACACACACACACACACACACATGCAGCGCTTGGAGGGAAGGCGGCTGGATGGTACAGAGGACCGATATAGGAATATAGGACGAACGCCGCAAGGCCCTCCAACGTCCCCGCGCCCCTTGCTCCCCCTTTACGCAAGAGGAGGAGGAGGAGGACGCAAGAGGAGGACGCAAGAGGAGGCGGAGGACGCGCGGGCTCTCCCGGCTACGTGGACGGACGAATAAGTAAGGTCGTATTCGTATTACCCAAAGCGTCACGGGCAAGGTAATTTCTCACGACGGGAAAAGGCTTTCATCGCCCACCTGAAGGTGCGGGTAGTTGATGCACAACGCGAGATCTTGCACAAGCGCGATCTCGCCCAGGTGCATCGTGAGCGTGGTCAGGCCCCGGGCCACGCCACTGTTCAACAACCAGCCGCCCAGCGACAGTAGCGGCGAGGCAGCGGCAGCCGCCACCTCAGCTGCGGTCTTCGGTGAGGAGGTAAGGGGAGATGCGGAAGTGGAGGCTGCAGAGGCCCGACGCCTAGCGCTGCCGCCGCCGCCGCCGCTGCCGCCACTGCCTGCGGCGGCCGGGGCCGGGTGGGGTCCCCCTGCGGCGTCGGGGCCGGTGGCTCCGCTGCAGCTGCCCGCCAAAATGACGGTGGCGTGGCGCAGGGCAGGAAAGAGCGCCGAGACCTGCGATGTGCGTGGAGGAGCGCGCGTCAAGAGCAACTTCGGGAGAGCGGGTTGTTAAACACAGGATCATATCCACCAGCAATACGAGATCAACACTTTACCAGGTAATGTGCGAAGCACGGCGCATGGATAAAGCCGTTATTATGAAGGTAAATAATTCGCAGGACCAGGCAGGAAATCCACAGAGATATAGAGGGAAGGATTTACTAGGTGACTCAGACTCCAATTTTTGTGATCTGTGACCCAGACGGAAGATTTATGACCAAACACCCTAACCCAGATGGCCGTACAGCCCCCGAGGCCCTAACCCAGATGGCCGTACAGCCCCCGAGGTCCAAACCCAGATGGCCGTACAGCCCCCGAGGCCCTAACCCAGATGGCCGTACAGCCCCCGAGGTCCAAACCCAGATGGCCGTACAGCCCCCGAGGTCCAAACCCAGATGGCCGTACAGCCCCCGAGGCCCTAACCCAGATGGCCGTACAGCCCCCGAGGCCCTAACCCAGATGGCCGTACAGCCCCCGAGGCCCTAACCCAGATGGCCGTACAGCCCCCGAGGCCCTTGGCCGTACAGCCCCCGAGGCCCTAACCCAGATGGCCGTACAGCCCCCGAGGCCCAAACCCAGATGGCCGTACAGCCCCCGAGGTCCAAACCCAGATGGCCGTACAGCCCCCGAGGCCCTAACCCAGATGGCCGTACAACCCCCGAGGCCCTAACCCAGATGGCCGTACCGCCCCCGAGGTCCAAACCCAGATGGCCGTACAGCCCCCGAGGCCCAAACCCAGATGGGCAATCTCCCTCAAGCCAAACCCAACACCCAACGCACATCATCTCCCGTACCCTCGACCCCCATGCCATGCCCCCTTTCACATCGCGCTGCTCCTCCTCCACCTTTGTGCCACGAGCGCTCAGTTCGTCAAACACACGCCGGTCGGGCCGCATCGTCAGGGAGTGCGTGTGGTTGTCCACCAGGGTCCTCAGAGCCTTGCAGGTGCACCGGAGGGCCGCACGAGTGGCGGACGGCAGCGCAGGCACGATGATGTCGAGTGCCGGTGCCGGCAGACGGGGCAGCAAGATGTCGCGGCCCGGCTTGCCGCCGCTGCCATGCAGGCGGCCGTTGCACGTTGTGGCGTTGTTCCGCCGCAGGTAGGGCGGCGGGCGGCACGCATGACGGTTCAGAGAGAACAAAGGAGGAAGCAGAAGAAAGGAGAAACGGGACCAAATCAGCCACAGGGGAATTTGCTTTTCCGTTTGCGAAAGCGATTATGCGTGTGTGCGTGGGGGGTGGGGGGGAAAGACGAACCACACACGATTGAAGCTGCTGCCAGGGCAAGAGTGTATGAGGGGGGGAAATAAGATGTGCGGTCGGGAGAGAGCACAGGAAAGCTCTTTGCTGGCGGATGAATGGGCTTCTAGAGGGACAGAGACGGCCGAACAAGTCCAAGTCCAAGTTCGTTACAATGTGGGTAACATTGCAAGGTACGCAAGGTACATTTCTGCAACTTCCAGGTTGCCATGCTGCGGCACCACACAAAATGCAACGCCACAAAGCAAAAAACCGGTCACAATGGGAAAAAGAGATTAGTGCAGAAAAAACCCAAATCCTTTTTGGTCCCACAGTGAGTGGTCCCGCAATTGCAATCATAATATAGCTATAACGGTTTGAGAGGAGCCTCAAGAACGAATGCCCTCGCTCGCACCTGATGGCGGCAGCGCCTGCCACCTTGCGCTGCGACAAGCTCGAGCTGCCACCGGCAACGAACGCTGCGCGGCGCCGCTGCGTCGCGGCACTGGCGATACCGTGATTGATACTGCCCTCACCGCCCCTGGTTGTACTGTGACTCGGCAAGCCCCTGGCGCTCAATGGGGCCCGGGTCGCAGCACCCTGGCTTGAGTCGGCCCCCGTAAAGCCACATCTTCTCGTGCCTCCCCTTCCTCCTCCTCCTCCTCCAGCGCCTGCCGTCATTGGACGCCGCTGTTGAGAGGCACTCGCGCATGAGCTCCTGGGCTCGCACGTCGTAGTCCTCCGCCGGGGTACCGCCGCAGTCGGCAGCGGGGCTGTGGACTGTGCCTGGCCCTGACCACGGCAAGAAGGGCCACTAATAACCATCGCCGTGGTGCCTGGTACGATGGCGCGATTGCTGCCGGTCCTATGGCTAGGGTGGTCGCGGCTGGTGCTTATGGCGGTACCGCCGCTGCCGCTCGCGCCCTCGCTAAGGCGGGCTTTGTTTCCCGTGGTGTTTTTGTTCGTGCTGGATGTGCCCTGGGCTTCTAGCTTGGAAAGCCCAGCTTCTTTGGCGTCGAGCTCGGCCTCCCAGGCGTTTATCGCATCGCTGAAAGTGCCATCGTCATCACTCCCTTCGGCGGAGGACTCGCGTGACAAAGAGGAGGAGGACCCGGAGCTGTTGAGGATCTCAGTTCGATTCAGAACGGCTGCTGGCTGGCCATGCTGCGGGTTGCCGTTGACCGGGCCGCCTTCCGCCGCCGTGCCGTTGCGGGCGACGGCGTCATCGCTGCCACTCCCGCTGCCAAAACGGCTTGAGCCCGCGGCGATATCGGCGGCACCGCTGTTGGCACCGCTCGTGGCACCGCTGCCACCGGCGCCCAGGCTCCCGTTGCCGGTTTGGGAGTTGGTTGCGCTGCTGATGGAAATTGATCTTCGCCTGGAAAGCTTCACAGTACGACGATCGCTGTTCAGGTATGGCTCCCATGCATCAATCAGCCTTGTGACATTCCTAGCGAGGCTGGCGGATAGCTGTCGTGATTGCGAACACGCTGAGCGATTGATGCTTTCGCTGCGACTGGGGCCCCTGTGGTGCCGGAGGATGTAGGTATGCTGTTACGGCCCGGGACGGTTAAACTGGGTGCTCATGCACAAGGATGCGGTGCTCCTAGTGTGTGCAGTCAAGGCCCTAATGTACCCATAAAAGGCGATACTGATGCAAGAGGTATCTTCGTGATTGAGGGGAAGAACGGATAGCAAAACGGAGCGAAAGCAAATCAAGCTGTCATGAACGGGCACGATTTGTGCCATTAACCCAACGCAAATTGAGCCAGCGACCCGAGACTTACTCATGATGCTGTTCATCGAAGGGTTGAATTTCCATAAATTCTTGAAGAACGGGCTGCTAGATATAATATGGACGGCCACGCACCTGACTATCAAGAAATGCTCGTGCAGATGCAGGCAAGTTTTAGCCGCAAAACATGCTGCAATTCCAGAAATTTGAAGGGTCTGTAACAAAGGTCCTAGCAGCTGAAAGGCAGGCAGGTTGTGCAGGACGAAACCCTAAGCTGTAAGGACTTGGAAGTTCCCTTGAGAATTCAAAACATAAACTTTCTATAAAACTGCACTGCGGTATATTTGTGCATGCACTTCTGGCTGCATGCAAGACGCAACCGCTAGGTACCGGTGTACGGCCGCACTTGGTAAAGCTGGGCCGATTTGTTAAGTTGGAGAATGACATGTAATCCCTGTACCTGATGAGCTGAAAAGCAGCCCACCGCACGTAATCACCGATATTTACTGCCTAGCGTCTCTACCCGCAACACCCATTCGTATGTAACGGTGGCGATCGGCCCCATAACATATCATGAACTTCTCGGGGATTACCTGTAAAGAAACAACAACCTACAAGCTGTAAGATTACGTAACCCTCCGCAAAGCAGGGTAAACCTGCCACACGTTGACCCATGCACCATTTTCAACACATCAGCGGAATGGGCCGAGCTCTGGGCTTCATTACATCGCCAGCCTTCAACTTCCGGGCAGATATACCAGGACTAAGCGCAGACAGCCTATCTGCGTTAGGATTATCAGGCGCAAGCAGCAGCCTGCCGACAACCCTGGCGCAGCTAAGCACCTCCAAAACAGCCGCAAACCCTGCTCTACCACCACATGTTTCGGCCAGAGCACGCCCACTACCATCGGCATCACATTTACATCGTTGCAGCCCCCCCAGCCAAACTCCTTGTCACATGCTTCTCCAGCTGAGGCGTGCCTTCCACACTACATTCACCTGCGCCTGCAGCAGCGACGGCAGCTCTAAGCTGCTGCAATGCACGCGCAGTGGCGGCAGTAGCAGTAGAAGCCTTAGTAGCAGCAGCGGCAGTAGCAGCAACACCAGCAGCGGCAATAGCGGGGCGCTTGACAGCCATGCTTATCACAGTACAGCCGCCGGTCAACCCACGGCCGCCAAAGGAGCGAACGCCGCCTATACCAAAACCCCCGCTGCCCACTGGCCAACAGCCGTTTCGGGGGAGCTCCGAAACCAACAGTAAGCTCCCGGTGCTATCCCGAAGGCCCTCGCATCCAATGGATCTGTGCCTGTCCATATCCACTTCTTACCGAACCTATCAGCCCTAAACCCCCCTACTTCCCACCCCTCAATCCCTCCCCAACCCCTCACCTATTGTTGATTTGACCTTGACCCACGGGTCACTACATCTATCGCTGGCCCTCCCCCAAGCTACGATGTGGTGGTGGTGGGGCTGGGCGCCTTCGGCAGCTCGGTGCTGTACCACCTAGCCAAGCAAGGACTTCGAGTGAGAGGGAAGCTGGCTTGGGCGCTTTCCTGCACAAGGGAGGGCGGGGAGAAGGAGGCCACAGTAAATCGCGAGTGCAATTCAAAGAATCACCGTCATACACACGTCACAGGGGCAGAGTGACTTCCAAAAGGACGAGAAAGGGGAGAGAAGAGGAGGACGTGGTGTGGCCGTGCTTGTCTTGGTCGTCTACCAAAAAAGACAAGCAACAGCTGTACGAAACCCAATACCCCGGGGGAAAGGGGGGTCCATGTGCCCTGTCAGTCCTTCCCCCCCAATCCCCCAACCCAACCCCCCACCCGCCCGTGTCTTATGAGGTTCTTAAGATGGTGATGACGGTGATATCTCTTTGACAGGTTCTAGGTGTGGAGAGGTATGGACCCGTGGGTCACTCCCTGGGTTCTTCCCATGGCGCGTCACGAATCATCCGTCTGGCCTACTTTGAGGGTCTCCAGTATGGGCCCTTGCTGGTGAGTGAGCGAGTGAGTCAGTGAGTGAGTGAGCGAGTCAGTGAGCGAGTGAGTCAGTGAGCGAGTGAGTCAGTGAGTGAGCGAGCGAGTGAGTGAGCGAGCGAGTGAGTGAGCGAGCGAGTGAGTGAGCGAGCGAGTGAGTGAGTGAGCGAGTCTAAGGGAATATGGGATGCGGTAGGCAGCGGAGTGGGACTCTGTGAATGCATCGATCCTGTCCGTATGCTATGCTGCCCAGCCAGCCTACCTACCTACCTACCTATGAACCCAAAAGTAAGCCACCTACCTATCAGCCAATCGACCAACTTACTAATCTACGTACCAACTGAATCAACAGAAACGGAGTTTGGGGCTATTCAAGGAGCTCCAAGAGGAACTCGCTGCGTGGCAGGTGGGTGTTTGGGGTAAGTTGTAGTAAGGTGTTCCAGGTTGGTTAGTTGGTTGGTTAGTTAAGTTGGGGGGTTGGGGATCCCTCCCGTAATTTTGGATGGATGCAAATTCTTATGCTGGCCCTTGTACGGCATGTACGATATTGCGTACGATAATGCTTTCGGTGGCAGACCGATAGATCGCACAGAGAACGAGGGAGTGGGTTGCACATGTGGTCTCCTATTACTCCTGCTGCTTCCCGGCGCTCTCCTCCCCTCCTCACCAACATACATGCATACATATATACAAAACTATTGGATGTCCTCTGCTGGCTGTGCTCCACTGCTGCTGCAGTGCTGCTACTGCCATTCGGGTATATGGCTCCACGTCACCAAGTAACCCATTGCCGTACCCTGCTGGACCCCCTGGAGGCCCCTGGCATAACCGCCTTCGCCCCTCCACCTCCTCACCCCCACACCCGACCCCCTCACCTCCCCCAACCATGATGAAAGGCTTACATAACCGTTTCTAATGGTTTCCATTCATAACCCTGGTTCGTACAAGGATCGTACAAGAGCATTTCCCAGCTAGAAATAGTACATTCCCCTCCCCCCTTCGACACCCCTTCCCCCTCCCCTCTTGCCGGCCTACGGTAGGGTCACCTCCGCGAGCCCCTCTTTCTACGTGTTGGAATGTTGGATGTGGGATCCGTGTTTCGGAGCGCGCTCCACTCAGCCCAGGTGCATGGCCTGCAGGTAGAGCGGGAGGGAGGGGTGCCCCTGGGGAGGGGTGTCCGGGGGGGTGCAGGAGGGGATGCAGAGGTAGCCCTCCGCCTGCCCCCCTCCAACAGTCCCCTCCTGTTTCGTGACCCCACCCCCTCTCCCTCTCTCCCGCCTTCCCTTCCCCCCTTCCTCCCTCCCTCCCTGGACCCCAGCACGAGGTGCTGACTGGAGAGGAGCTGAACAGGCGGTTCCCGGGTGAGGGAGGTGCAGAAGGGCCCGATGACGTGTGTGTATGTGTGTATGTATGCATGTCTATCAGTCCGTATTTAGGTATGTATGTGTGCTTTTGTGGGGATTGGAAGCGGAGCCTTGGCTCGGTGGTGTTGGCTTAGCGCATACACGGCTTGGTTGTGGCGGTACCAAGGTTTCATTCTCATGGCCGTTGTCGTACTCAAATCCAAAGGTCGGCTTGCGTGCGCATGGAGGCATGGTGTGGTGGGAGGAGGTTCTTTACTCAGGCGATATTGGGCTGGGAAGGTTCGCGGTAATGAGGGGTTGGCGGGTTTTACCACCTGGATGTTAATGCCAAAACGGCATGCCGTACGATTGCCGTACATTTCAGGCCAAATCATAATCACACATTCCTGTACGGAACCGCAGCATACCGGGTTCCGGAGCACTGGATGGCGCTGTATCAGCCGGACGGCGGCGTACTGGCTCCCGAGAGGATCGTACAGGTACATTACGATGCACTGCCGTACGGTGCCACGCCACGCAAAATTTCAACTAAATTTGAACACCTCTAAGCCTACAACCCTAAGCCTTATTAAACTCAATGCGTTGTATGGCTGTTTGTACATCTACGTGTGCTTTATGTGTTTCAGACTGTATTCATCTTTCCTGCCCTCCACACCTCCACACCTCCACACCTCTACCCGCCTTCCATAGACCCCTCTCATCCATATCGCGTTCTCGTCCACGTCATTCACGTCCTCACTCTTTTCACCCCGCCGCCGTAAGGCCCACGTGAGTACGGCTCAACGGCTGGGGGCTGAGGTGCTGACGTGGCACTCGGTGGCGTCATGGCGGGTGGAGGGCAGCGCCGAGGATGCCCCGGTCACCTTCCAAGTGGAGCCCACAACCACAACCACAACCGCAGAGGCAGCGGCGGCCGCCACCGGCAGCAGTGGCGGCAGTAGCGGCGCGCACGGAAGCCGTACCGCCGGCGGCGGCGGCGGCGGCAATAGCCTCAAGAGGTTTACGGCCGGCGCGGCGGTATTCACTCCGGGTCCCTGGATTGGTCAACTGGTTCCGGAGCTTCGTGTGAGTGTCTGTAAGGTCTTCCTTTCGTCGCGGCCAGACCGCCGCCAGAACTGATTGAGCGTGTTCGCGTACCTGTGCATGCGTGCGTGTCTGTGTTTGAATGGAAATGATCGGGGGGCAGGATCCTCCTTCCTTCCCCGGCCCCCTCTTCACCCTTCCTCGTTGTGCGTTTTCCTTTCACACCTTCATCTCCTCTCCCCTTCCTCCCACCCTTTTCTCTCTCTCTCTCTCTCTCTCTCTCTCTTCCTCTCTCTCTCTCTCTATCTATCTCTCTATCTATCTCTCTTCCTCTCTCTCTCCCTTTATGTATGCTTGCCCGGTCACCCCTTTCCATTGTTCAGGAGCTTTGTGTTCCGGAGCGCCAAGTGGTGGGCTGGTTTGAAATTGAAGGTACGACAGGCACGGTACGGAAAGGTCACATTCTGCAAGATGTTCTTATGGTCAATAGACCGTGCAATGGTACACTTGATATGCCTTAAAAAAGTAGAATGCAAACACACACACACACAACTAGACACACACACAGAGAGAATGTATAGACACTTTCCCATCCTACAGAAGCCTCTATCAGTCTGAGCAGGAGGCTGTACAAAAGACACTCCACACAATCCATTTTCACCACCCCCTGCTGCCGTACATCCGTACCTGTACTATGTCTCTTCCATCCGTACCCGTACAGCCGCCTCGCGGCACCATTTTGCGCCGGACCGCTTTCCCGTCTTCGTTCTGGAGGAGTCCCCGGGAGGCGCGGCCTACTACGGCTTCCCCGAGCACGGCGACGTGCCAGGTGGGCTTCCAGATCCCACACCCACAGATTCCATGTCTCTCTTTCGGAAACGTCATGGGGGGTTTGGGGGGGTATTCGGGGTGCCTTTGGGTTTTGGTTGCTTCTTACCCCGCTGGTTTGGTTTCCTTGGGAGCTGCTTCCGTGTTCCCGTGTTCCCGTGTTCCCGTGTTCTTGTATTTTCCTGATGAAGATGAATGCACCATCGTGAGGTACGGAGGACACCTCTATTGTGTGTCTTATCCTTTGCACCTGCACCTGCACCCGCTCTCGCCCGCACCCGCGTACACCGTACCGCACCGTACCGTGCCGTACTGTCCGGCAGGCTTTAAAGTCGGTCTGTATCGCCACCTTCGGGAGGAGATCCGGGATCCAGCTGCCCTGGATTCAGTTCGCCGTACAGCTGACGCGGCCGATGAGGCGGCGCTCCGCGCCGGCGTGTCGTCGTACTTTCCGGCGGCGGCATCTGGTCGGATGCTCGCCGCCAGCACCTGCTTCTTCACCAACACACCGGATGGACATTTCCTGGTAGACCGACACCCCCGTCACCCGCAGGTTCGTACGATGTACGAAACTAACTTTGGGTAATACCCTTGCATGTGTGCGCGTGCGGGTCTGCATACGCCTGTATCCTGGATGTATGGCTGTATGTATGTGTGTGCTTCCTAGCGGCCAATGACACTCATCATTGGTCAGGTGGCGACCCGACCCGTGTATATGTGGCGGTATGCACCGCGAGGGCGTGTGTCGGACATGCCCATGCATAAGCGTGTAGGCGGCCCCGCGGCCATGTCGCTCCTCAACAGGTGACCCATGGGTCGTAATTGCCGCCCCGTAGGTCATCCTGTGTTCCGCTTGCTCCGGCCACGGCTTCAAAATGAGCTCGGGCATCGGCCAGCTCATCGCTCGGATGGTGAAGGCAGGACCAACTGCCGCCAGCACTACTGCTACTGCTACTGAAACTGCTACTGCTGCAGCTACATGCCGTGTGTCCGCTGCCGTGCACGAAAGCCAAACCATTAATGCGACGACAGCGGCGACGGCAGCGACGGCACCGGACGGGCCTTATCCTGCGTCTGTCGACAGCAGTGGCGACTGGGGGGAGTTGCGGCCGTTCAGGTTCAGTCCTGGGAATCGGCCGGGACACCGAGAAGCGCTGGAACGTTTTTTGTAACTTCAAAAAATAGTAACGCCAAAATAAGTTTTTAGAGCTATTACTGGGGTACTTTATCGAAATTTACCCCTATTTTTCTCTTGGTATAAACATTCTTGATCAGAGCCAAAAATCAAAATAGATTTTGAGGGGCTTTTTAAAAGGGACCTGATAAGACTAGCTTTGCCTCTTAGGCTGGCTTGGGGCTTGTACGATACTGTACATATTTGACACGGTAGGATTGACGGTACGGCTTTCGGATGACAGGGTGCTGATGAGGTGATGCCACCAAGGGAAAGAGAGAGAGGGAGAAAGAGAGCGCAGCGGCTGTGCGTGCTTCTGTGTAAATTTGTTTGTTTCCTGCGGCGGCCGACCCTTCTTGACTCGTCCATCATTCCATATCGGCCCCCTGAGCTTAACGGCTACTGTTTCGCTGGCCATCACCAAGCCGGCAGGCGGTCAGATAGACAGGCAGGTAAACAGACAGGCAAACAGACGCAGCCTCACAGGCCGGGGGCACCCCCGAGACACACACACACATACACACAGATAAACACAAATACACACACACGCACGGTCATCGCCAATTAAGATGTGCAACCCTCACGCCTCACCGTGGCTCAGCTCAAATATTAAACACATCTTTTTTCGCGTCTCATGCGACGCTGGTGAGAGGCAACCTCCCACCCCCTACACACACAAATTAGCAATGCTGCAAAAATGTCGAATGTCGCTGGCGGGACTGCTTGCGTCTCCCTCCCATAGGGAAAGCCATGATTCTAATTTCCGTCCCCCCCTTTCATCAGCGACCAGTTCAACTCATCATCTCCCATGCAACTGATGCAAAATAAAATTGTAGACGTGTCAATGCTCGAGAAGCATTAGGGTTTTAGAACATGTGAACGCTGTCTACCCGCCAAGATCACATTTTTGTGTGAAGAGAGGTCTTTGATAAACTAGGGACAGCCAACTGCGCTAAGTCAGCAATGCGAAGACAGAACAGGAGAACTTGGCAGAGAAGGCCCCCAAGAACAGAGGGGGGCCACTTTTTGCATTTCTCACGGTGCTATACCCACGAAACGATGTTTGCGGCACGTCCGTGTGGCATCGTCGTGGCATACAGCAAGTGCAAGCACGGAGATTGTATCATTCCCACGGTGTCCATGCTACAGCGGCTCTATCCAGAGGACAAGGCCCCCGAGCATATGGTCTACGACAGGGCGTGCTTCTTTTTCCGCTACTTGCAGGCAGATGACAGGGTGTAGCGCCTCGTGGATAATAGCCATGATGAGGGGCGAACGCTGGAGGAGCTGCACGCCATTGTTGAAAATGGTGGCGAGCGGACTGGATTGCGGTCCGCTTCCACTTCTCTGGCCACAAGGAAACTGACAAAGTTCGCAGGTGAGATTCACGGTCACTTGTGACATAGCGCTCGCCGTGCGACGTGCCCGTCCCCTAGTGTTATAACTGTTCTGAGTTGAAGCAACCCAGTTAACCGGCTCGTTTTTTTGCGTCAGGCGCACCGAAGGCGCGCTGGCGGTTCCTCCAGTGCAAACTATTTAGTCAGGTAATGTCGTCCCAGTCCAAAGTCTTCTGCGATATTTGCTGCACACTTAAGCAGGTGTTCGGCTGCCTGCTTTTATACGAATGGAGGACGGGCGGGCGGTAAAGTTACAAGTTACAAGTTCCGCACACAAGTGCGGGTGTGTCCGTAAAAGCCGGGGGGGCCATGGACGTTGTATTGGTATTGATGCGGGTACGCGGGAGGTCATCTTCATTCTCCCTCGTCCGCTTCAGGGCGAAGCGCCTCAGCGCGACGTGCCTGGCCTCCCAGATTTCCGAGAGGTACCTGGCCAATGCCAGGGTGGCGCCTCAGTCATAGTGGTGCGCATGCTGCGCCCCGTAAGGACTAGGTCACCATCATACTTAGCCCGTATGCTCTTGTAAGCGGGACATTCTTCGAAAACATGCAACTCATCTTCAACCGCTCCACAGTCACAAAGCCTGCAGGTACGCGCGGTGCGCTCACGCCCATTAGGTCTATTAACCCCTAACTCCCAACAGCCTAACCGAAAACGCATGAGCACATGATGAAGTCGCTGGGGCATGGTCCCTTTAGTGTGCTCCAGCCAATCAAGACGCGCACCCCTTGACGGGGCAGCTCCCATCCAGTTCATATAGCGACACGCCTTGGCTCCGGTAATTCCTATGGGGAAGACGCGGGGGTCACCCAAGGTATTCGGGCACTCCCACCGAGCATCAAGCCGCTTGGCAAAAACCTTAAGAATGCTCTCGACTGGCAATTTAAGGGTTGTGTAGTACGATATAAGATCATTACCGCGCGTATTAGTGGGGGGTCCACTCCTAAGCTAGTAGAAAAGGCTAGTACCTGCTTTGCCCAACACTCAGTGGCGCCCCCAAGTGCCAACTCCAGGTCAGCGACAAATGCCCGGTGACACAACGTTCCCGGCCTCTTAACCACAGAGTTCCAAAACCTAAGTACAAGATTGGTCCAATGGAACTGGAGTGGCCTCTGTGACAGCTCGCGATATAGGGAAACCATAGTCGGGCTCCTCGCCCCAACTACGGTTCGCATGTAAGCACGTTGTTCCTGGACCATGGGATTAGCCATAGCACCTTCAAAATTCACATTAATGAAGTCAGGTCCCCAAACTTGCGCTCCATAAGAAAACACCGGTACAACTAGTGTATTGTAGAGAGACATACATAGCTTGGGGGTGGTAATTTTCTTATCACGACACAGGGTGCTGAGCCCAAATGTGGCCCGCCTCCCTGCTATGAGTAGTTGCTTGGTACAAGCTGAGAACTGCACTCCTGGGCCATAGTGCAACCCGAGATACCGTGCCGTCTCGTTGCCGGTCAGGACCCGCAACCCCACCCCACCTAACCGGTACTCAGCTTCAACAAGCCGCTTCCGCTCACGCGTAGCGCCCCCAAAAATGAGGACCTCGCACTTGGCGGCATTCGCGGCCATACCCGTCGCTTTGCAGTAGGCTTCGAGTAGCCCCAGAAGGCATTCAGCTCTATCGTGCCCTGTCGCTACCAGTGACACATCGTCAACGAAAAGCAGGTTAGTGAGATCACCGCCCGCCAGGCTAACACTCTGCTCACGAAGGGTGCTCCATCGGCTGGGGAGGCATACACGGCAATTAGCATCATGGGCATCAATATAATGAGCGAATACTTCTATGAAGAGCCCAAAAAGGGTTACGCTAAGGGGACACCCTTGCTTAACACCACGCCCCACCTTGAATTCAGGTCCCAACTTATTTCCTAACTTGACCCGAAACTTCACGTCAGCATAGCTAGCCTTTAAAGAGTCGAGGATGCGCCCGTGTAACCCATACGACATTAGGAAATCCCAAAGTGTCTCATGGTCAACGGAGTCGAACGCCTTAAAGTCAATTTGCATGATAATAAGCGGCCTGGCTCCGGCCACAGTGTGCTTCGAGATAAGATGCCTTAATGTAAACAAGTGATGCTCGGTGCCAAAACCATGCCTACATCCAGCCTGGCTAACGGCACGTAGCCTATTGCCCTCACAGTAATTATTTAATCGCCTCCCTATGATATTGGCATAAAGTTTGCTCAGGGGACCCCCAACTGCAATTCCCCGGTAATTGTCACAGCAAGACGCGTCCCCTTTTTTGAATACGGGGGACAGGGTGCTAGTCGTGAATTCCCTCGGGTATTCAGCTCCGTATATGCGGTTGAATAGCACCGTTAAGTAAGGCGCCAATACAAGCACGGGTTGCTGCCCTTCAGATTCCCTGATAGCGTACTTATAATACTCGGCCGGGGTTCCCTCCAGGCCCGCGGACTTATTGTTGCGCATAGCCTTAAGGCCACTAGTAATTTCATCCTCCGTAAAATCCTCGTTAAGCCAAGCAGCTAATTCCCGTCTGTGCGTCACCTGGTCCTCGTCCAGCCATCTAAACTGAAAACCCTCATTGCGGCATTGCCTCGTCTCTCCCGTACCATTAAGCACCTTGGAAAAATGCTCGGTAAAAGCATTAATATCTGAGATACCGCAAGGAGGTGGTTTTCCCCCACGCAGCCATGTCCACAATCCGCGTGGGTTGAACCGGGCGTCCTTAATCCTCCTCCGCATATCTTCCATTTCAAACTCCTGAATAGCGGCCTTCCTAGCCTTTTTAAAGGCACGGTGCTTGGCCTTCCAGGTAGTCCTATGTAGATCGGGCAGCTTGCCTGAGACGGGGTCCCTGACCTCCTTACGGAAACTCATCATATCGTTCCACGCAGCTGCACAGTCCTCGTTCCACCAGTCACGCTTCACAGACTTTTCCATCCCCCGTGCACCGCCGAACGTCTCTCTAGCACACTTATTGATAAGGGTGCGCAGGTCATTCATGCTTTCGTCACAGGGTGCCCCTTCTACAAGCTTTTCCTTGAGAGAGTTGATGGTCTCTGTAATAATGCCATCTGGTTCACGAAAAAGCTCAGTGAAGCGGCCCTTGCGTGAAATATCAAAAATAGGGATCCGTTCACGTGCTAGGTGAGGCTTCCGACCCCGTGCAGCCCCTGGCCTCAAAACGGCATGCAGGCGGAGGATAAGGGGGTGATGATCACTCAGCACATTAGACTCTCCCCATAAGTAAGATCTAAGGACTTTGAGAGTGTTAATCTGCTCGAAGAGCCCGTAAGATGCAAGGCACAGATCAATAGAACTGTGACCCTCAGTAGAGTTGGAGTAAGTTACAAGTTACAAGTTACAAGTGCCGCACGAGTGCGGGGGGGTCCGTCAAAGCCGGGAGGCCATGGACTATATGTATTGAAAGTTGATTACACCGTACGACCGACGGCGGTTTGGGTCCTGCCAACTAGACCCCTCCTCATCCAGTCACCCAACATCCGTAGAGACAGATCAGCCACCACCACCATCTCAGCATGCGAAACTTAGTCCATCAACTAGACCTCATCTCCACACCTCAGCAGCGTTAGTAAACCTAGACCTCCCGAACAATGTCGGGGGTCTGACCAGGAATCGAACCCGGAACCTTCATATACACGAAGGCGCCACCAGACCAGACCAAAAAATTTGGAACCATTTCTCGATTTGTGCGTGTCATCCTTGCGCAGGGGCCATGCTAATCTTCTCTGTATTTTTCCAATTTTAACATTTGTGCCGAAGTAAGTGAAGCCCCCGGGCACATCACCAGGTGCCCGCCCATTGACAATGGCTAGCCCTGTGTCAAGACACATTTGTGCCAATCGGCGGCCAAAACAATTCAGCCCACTATCTCTATTTTTACGGGGAACGCCGACGAGGGAGTGTGCCCCTATTCCATTTACTCCGGGCAAGTCTAGAATAGCTGCTGTACGGGCATTAAAATCACCTGTGATAAGCACCTCATCACCCATGCACCGCAGTCTATCTAGCTCGCCAGTAATGCTTCCAAAAACAGCGTCGGGGACCTCGCTATACGCCAGGCCACTACCATCCGTGCTGCTATAAACGCTGGACCCCTGGGGCGAGCAGTAACCAGCCCCCAGTAGGAGCGCCCGCCCTCCAGGGAGAACGCTATGGAATCGCAACCAGACGATCTCCACCCCAACGGGTGTATTCGTTAAGCCCACTTCTCTCACGCAGGGGGCCAGCTCATCACGCACAAACACAGATACACCGCCTGACCTTCGAGAGCCTGTGCGCGGTGCTCTAGTACATGCAAGGTGGCTATAACCCTGCAATACTAGTTGCTCCTTGGCACGAGTGCGATTAACGGGCGCCTTCGTCTCTGTAAGGATGATAACATCGTGATTGAGCAATCCACGAATAGCCTTAATTTGGTCAAACTTGCCTGCCGAGAAGGCGTGGATATTCCAAATAAGGAAACGGATGCTATTACCCCCCCGGCGTGCTCCCTACTTAGCTGCCTGCCTCAGCTCTGCAGCCATTTTGCGGATGTCTATTTTCGCCCAGACACCGCTGTCTGGCTCAGTAAGCGCCATGAGGTGAGTACCCCGCCATGAAGGGGCCCTCTTACTATCGACTAGGTGCCGAAATACGTCCTGGTACCCTTTCTTGTACGATTCGCCAAGTGCTGTGAGCGCCAGTGACACTCTCACAGCCGGGAACGACTCATCCGCTCCTTCCTCCGCATTAAGGCCCAGCTGCTTCCGTAATGAGTACAGGGCATAATATGCCGCTGGGGTTGTCGTGATTCGAACCCGCTGGGTTGTCCGCTTGCTGCTGCGCGCAGCGACGTTCGGGTGTGCCTCGACGGTGCAATCTAAGAACGCGACCTTCATGTTCGTAAGCTGCTGCAAGCGCAGTTGCAGATTCTGGATCACTTCCTCCTGCGTCCAAGTAGCTGGTAGTCCGTCGATGACCAGTGCACCCCGGTCTATATGTCCATCGGTGCTGCTGGTAGACTCAGCCAGTGCTTTGGGGGGCCTGGGAGCAGGGTCACCTGCTGTCTTGCCAAACCCTCTGCAGCTTGCGGCCACCTCATGTGGTCTGGTAGTGATCGCCGTCACCTTTGGGGCTTTGGAGGTGGTGGTATCAGTGACGGCTCTGTTAGGTCTTGGTTGCTGTTTTGGCTGCTGCTGCTTCGGCCGTTCTTGCTGCTCCTTATGGAGTTCTTCCCGGTCTTGTTGGTCTTGCTTTGCAGGCGGCGCTGCTTTGGGGCCCATGCGACGCCCCCCCGTGGCTTCAGTACATCGTGCACCATCTGCCGGGGCTGTGCGCGTGCGCTCCCAGTCATTGAAACGCTCCTCGAGCGTGGCAACACGGGCAGTAACGCTGTCCACGTTCTCAGTCATTTCTCTGCAGTGCACCGCTTGTTCCCTTGGCCCGCTTGCGGCGTGCTCGGCGAGCCGCTTTTCCAGGGCCTCCATCCGCCTATCAAGGGCCTTTGCGTCCGCCGATTGGCTTCGCGTAATAATTGGCTCACTTCGTGCCGTGCTTCGCTCGGTCTCGAGGGCTTCAATGCGCTCATTTAACTCCTTTAAGCGTTGCGTCGTGAGCCTGCGCTCACCCACCGTGGCATCAAGCTCCTGTCGCAACACAGCATTCCGCTCCTGAAGGCTTTTAACAACCTCTGCCTGCTCTTCGACTAGGCTTCTCAGGTCGTTAATGCGATGCTTCATGTCATCGCTAGTCTGCTGGCATCTGTCAACATGCCCTGCCAATAGGCTCTGAAATTCCGCTTTGATTGTTGCTATGCATCCATCCAGGAATGGCCTGCAGCTCTGAGCAATGTGCTCCTCTAGCTGCTTAGGTCCTGGAGTTTTCCTGCTAGGTGTAAAGACGTTGACCGTGGCTGAACGTCGCTTGACTCCAATTATTTTGCGACGCACATTACGATCTTTTCGTTCAGTTAAATCAAAAAGTACTCTAGTTACTGGTCGCGCTAATTTCGGTGTAGGAATAATAGGGGTCATATGGACGTCGGGTTGTGACATTATGGTTGTGACATGTTATAGGCGGGGAGGACGAAGGCGGGGAGGACGAAGAGAGATGCCGTAAGCGCCTTGCCTATTGAAGGTGAAACTTCCAAGGGAATTTGTCATGTAAGACGTATGGGTAGGAAAGCAATCCATGCGGCACAGAAGTAAAACAAATTGCTTTCTGTTCCGAGTAAGACAGTCATGTTCCAGGAGTAGTCGTACTGTTCCTGGGACAATGTTCGGGGCACAGACCTTCCCTGTTCAAGGCGATGGACTCTCCTGTTACTCAGGTAATGATGAATTATGATGGATTTGAATGACACTCGACAACAGCCCTCTGAACTCCATCCGTTCTTCCGGCACACCGAGTCTTCGGTATCGTTTCCGAAATACCTATCTTAGTCTTTGTAGCGAAAAATCCCGAGACAGAATTGTCCCCTTGGTGCTTGCTGGGCGTATTCAAAGCAGATCCTCATGTCAGCCATGAAGCGGCTTTTGCGGAATGCACGAGAATGTCTTGGCCGCCGCGAATACAGGGATGCCCTCCAGCACTGCAAAGAAGCTCTGGCGGAGGATAAATCTTGCTACGAGGCATACATGTGGGTGTGATGTGGTGTGGTGTACCGTGGGTCAGGCAATGAGGCCAATGCCTGCTCCGGTTGTCGAAAGCTGGGGGAATGTTAATATGCGGGCCCAAGCCCCACCTTTTAAGGGTTCAGAACCAACTGCTTTTTTCCCTGTAACTTTTTTCGGCGACTACCGCATTCCATGGGTTGAGGCATATTTCCCGGCTGCGGTGGTGCTGTGCGCCAACCTATCGACACCTTAACAAGTCGTTTCCTAGTCCTCTCCTCATTCTCTTCATATATCCAAGAACATGTAAGCCATAGAAGTACAGCAGTTGCCCTGCTGTCTACCCGGAAGCGCCGGGTACCACAAAGCAATGATGCTTCCGTGGCCGCCTTCCCTCCAAATGCTCGCGTAATTTCCCTGTCCTGTTTTTGGTATTCAACTCAGGCTTTCCTCTGCCTTCGTACGGCACTCGTTGTACGATACACACTCCAACGAACTAACAATGATTTTCGTCAGATTTTGATTATGTACTGACCTGTCCATTGACGGCATGCCCATGACTTCTCGATGGCCCGTTATCCGACCACATGAAAACGCAGCTATGTGGGCAAGGCGGCCTTCCACCTGCAGGAGCACGCGCAGGTAAAAACGTACGACATCCGTACAGGACCTGTACGGAAAAGCTGCACATTTGCAGAGCCAAGACCTCCAACGTGGCCAGTGCCGCGTTTTTCAAGGAGGCAACTCTGCCCCAAACACAAAAATGAACCCCCATGTTTTATAAAAGCGACTCAGATTCCCAGTTTGCAAGAGCAGTATAAATTGTTGGTGCTGACCTGTTGGTGCTGCTGCTGCTGCTGCTGCTGCTGCTATTTGTTGCGCACTGCTACACCCACCGCTGAAAATCCGCGTGGATGGACGCAAAGCTGTGTACCTATGCACATATAATAATAAATAATATAAATATATAAACAACATAAAAATAGGTAGATGTATAGCTATGTAGGTATATCTTGGAACGCTTACGTTTCCAAGTAGCCCGGTCCGCCACCATCCACCCTTATCGCCCCCAAGTCCCCCAATCTCTTCCCCCAACCTCTTCTCTCCCCCCCCCCCCAAACAGGCCGAGGCCGCCTACCGTCGGGCCGCCGATTTGGATTCCCGCAATCCCCTGGCCTGGCAGGGCCTTGCGGAGCTGTTCATGGAGACAGGCAGGGTTGGCGGTTGACCGTTGGCCGTTGCCAGGGTTGGTAATTTGCCGAAATAGCTATTGGGCGATTGATTGCGCATTTTCCTTCAAAACAAAACATTCTCGAAATTCTTTTTTTGGGAACCGTCCGCGAACTGTTCCGTCGTTTCCACGTGCGTCGTTTGACCGTTCGTTGTACGGCAAGGCAATGGCCATAGGACGAACTTGGTGGTTGGAAACGGCGCAGCCTCTTTTGTGTTGCGCGGTGCATGAGTC